CACACTCATGATCATGGGTGGGTGAGTGGGAGGGGGGCTGAGCTATCCTCCTTGAGGGTCCCAAGCTGGTCACCCACAGAGCCTGGGCTGGCACCGCCCCCGTGAGGAGCTGATCTGCCCCCTTCCTTGCAGTTCCACTCTCGGAGCCCTTGAGCTGTCCCAAACCCCTACCGCGGGTGCACTGCCCAGGTTCCCCTCCCGCACAGGCCTGGCCTCTCACTGATGGCCCAATTCCTGGAGGCGTATTTTCCTCCAGTGTGGTATGTGTTCAAGGAACAATGTCTTATCTCTCACAGGGAGAATTACAGGGCTCCCAGGAGAGGCACTTTGGGGTGGCCAAGGCCTTTCCACCCAAGGGCAGCTGCTAGACAGGCCACAGGCCTGAGGACAGAGCCTGTGTCCCATAGGGACATCCCAGTGCCGTGGGAGTCAAGGGACGGGTAGGAGGTGCAGGGAAGGGGAGAGAAGGGAAGGTGACTGTAGCAGCCCCAGGTGAGCCGAGCATCCTCCCTCCCCCACTGTCCTCCTCCCACCAGGAGAACGATTGGGGGTGAGCAGTGGCCCCTGAACTCCTTCCTACCCCCTGAGCTGCGGTTACCCCCCAACCCCTGCTCTTCTCAAATCTCCCAATCTTCCAGGCCTCCTTGGTCCATTATATGCCCTCAGGAGCCCCCGCGGCTGCACCCTGCTGTCCTGTGGCACGCAGTCTAGCCTGCTGTGGTCTGACTGTGGCCCTGCGCTGCCCCCACCCCGACCAGCTGTGACCCCCATTAGAGCGGAGACCAAGTTCAAGGGCCCAAGAGCTCCAGGGCCAGAGGTAGCCTCAGAACAGACCTATCACTCCAGTGAGGAAACTGAGGCCCAGCCCAGGAAAGCCTTGCACCCCAGCACAGGTGTCCTGAGAGGCTTCTGTCACTTTCTGACACCTCCATTTTGGGGAAACCTCTGAAAGAGGTGACAGTGTGAACAATGGATGCTCAGGATGTCAGGGGAGAAATAACTTGTTCACATTTCTCTTAATTATTTTTTAAAAAATGCTTTTATTGATTTTAGAGAGAGAGGAAGGAGAAGAAGAGAGAGGAAAAACTACCCCCTGCACACCCACAACCTAGGCATGTGCCCTGTCCGGGAATCAAACCGACGACCTTTTAGTGCATGGGACGACGCTCAACCAGCTGAGCCACACAGGCTGGGTCCTCTTCCTTCCGATGTAGAGACTGAGGACCAGAAAGAGAGGTGGTGTCCGATGGCTCCACTACAGGGTGCAGTCTGGAGGGCAAGGGCACCAGGGCTCGAGTTGCTGCCCCACTCTGGAGACAGGGCTCGGGGCCAGCAGGATCGGTGGCCATTACTAATGCATGTGCTGGCTGTGGCCGAGTGGGTCCCGGGGTGGGGGCCTGGAGCCCAGCCCTGGCCCAGGGACGGTCCTGGGGAAATGCCAAGCCTGGTCTGGGAGGACTACCAGCTCCCACAGTCTGAGAGCTCAGACCCCCAGAAAGGAGGGTCAGGCAGAATCCTGGTCTAGGGTTCTCAAGTGACCTGGTCCCTGCCCCTCACAGCCTCCGGGACACGACTGTGTCCCTCTGCCTGCCCTAGCTCTGGTACCTCCTCAGGTTTGGATTTCATTTTTGCAAGGGAAATGATCTGCGTTCCTGCCAGGGCCTCCACCCTGGACAGTCTCCACTCTTCCAAGGCGCCCAGCACCCTAGGCCACTCTGCTCCCCGAAGCCCCCAGACAGGCAGCTTGCTCCCCCAAGAGCCAGGATCAAGATGCTCCCTGGATGCTTGGGCATGTGGCTTTCCCGGGCTGGGCCTCAGTCTTCACCTGGATCCCAGGTGTGTGGTTTCATTGGCTGGTCTGTCTGTCTGTGCCCTGCCTTGTTGCAGAAGGGATTTCTGTGAGCCACAGAGGGTGGACTGCTGCCCCGTGCAATGTCACAGGTGCTTCGGCACAGAGTTTAAGTGACTTGCTCGAGGCCAAACAGAACTCATCCAAGGTCGCACACCGACCTCCTTATCGCCAGCCCAGGGTTCTTTCCATCAGACTCCTGTAGCTCCCCATGAATAATTTGCACCCGGCTGGCAGGGCAGTCATCAGCCACATCCCTCTTCTCACTTTTCTGGAACATCAACTCCGGCCTCTCCGCTCTCGCTCTGGCAGCTCTCCACCCCTCCTGCAAGCTGGAGGACCTGGTGCTCACGGTTCTTTCCAGTTCCTTCCCCGCTGAAAGGAAGACAGCCAGATAATGTCTCTCTCTATTTTATTCTTTTATCCTCACCTGAGGACACTTTTGCATTTATCTTCAGATAGAGCAGGAGAGAGAGAGGGAGGAAGAGAGAGAGTAACATCAATGTGAGAGAGACACATCGACTGGCTGCCACCTACACAACCCCAACCGGGACCGGGGATGAACCACAACAGAGGTACGTGCCCTTAGCGGGAACCGAACCCAGGACTCTCTGGTCCTCGGGCCGACGCTCTAACCGCTGAGCCAAACCGGCCAGGGCAAATGTCTCTCTCAGGTGGGCATCTCATCCCCCTCAAGCTAGTTGTGTCATCCTGATTCTCATTCATAAAATCATTCATTCCGGTCTGGCCCAAGAGCAAATATGAGACATTCACACACACACACACACACACACTCACACTCACACTCACACTCACACTCACATTGCAAGAGCGCCTCCAATAGAATTGGACATTTGTGAAAACAAGAGTAGGAGAAACTGTTACCTTTGCACCCTGTATGCAAAAAACAAGTGTTGAAAAAATAAATAGCATGATGGAGGCAAAAAGACTTAATCATATTCACAGGGCCTTCGGGAGGTCATGGAAGAACTGATGACAGGAAGTGGTCACCTCAGCTGAACCCTGTGTACTGGGACTCCTCTTATGGAACAGACCTCAGGGCCATTTGGGTACAGCCAGAGCCCTTGTGACCTTCTTCTGTATATGCTGATTGTATCCTTTGTCACCAAACCTCCTCAAATGCTGGTAGGCTCCCCAGGGCGTCTGTGGCTCCCGCCTGGCTGAAGCATCCTCTTTGGTGCAGTTGATCGCGGACAGGCTGGTGGGGGCAGACCTCTGACATTCAGGGCATGCTCCGAAAGGCGCATCGGCAGCCTCCACAGAGCAGGCTGTGAGTCTAGAACGTCTGAGACCCAGACTCGGCTGTGTCCAGGCGCTTCAGAAACATGCCTGGCCACTGTTTGTAATAGCAAACGTTACAAACAACCCAATGGCCCCACAGCGGCCCCGGAATAAACGGTGATGCATTTACGCACTGCAGTACTATGCAGCTGTTAAAAAAATAAAAGAAATGAAGGCTTTTTCTTTTTTTTTATCCTCACCCCAGGATATTTTTCCATTTTTTGTACAGATAGAGTGGGAGGGAGAGAGAGGAAGGGAGAGAGAGAGAGAAACATCGACGTGAAGGGACACATCGAGTGGCTGCCACCCGCACGACCAACCAGGGCCGGGGACAAACTGCAACCAAAGTACGTGCCCTTAGCGGGAACCGAACCCGGGTCTCTCCAGACCGCAGGCCGACGCTCTAACCGCTGAGCCAACCTGGCCAGGGCAAATGAAGACTTTTTCTACCTAATTCTATGGAGTAACCTCCCAGCTATATTCAATAAAATGTAAAACATTTTACAGGTAGGGCAGAAATGGATGCTAGATTTATTTGATGTACTTTGTTTTGGCTCTGGAACTGCGTAAATGTTTTACAAAACTATAAGGCAAAATTAAACGTAAATATTTTGTAATAGTAAAATATATGAAACAACTAAAATATCAGTCAGTAGGGGGGCTGGTGAAATAACTTTTGCTACGTTCATGAAATGAATTCTACAGTTTTACTAAAGGAGTTTGGCTTTTAGGTACGTCTATGAAATGCTACTGTGCTGCACAATGGACAGAGTACACTGCAGAACATATTTGTAATAGCAAACGTAATATATGTATATTTGCCTTCATTTAAAAAAATTCTGGAAGGATAATAAGATACTAATAAAAGTAGCTGGAAAGAGGAAAGTGGAGAAGATAGCACTTAGGTGGGAAGATTTTTCATTGAGTATCTTTTTTATCCTCACCTGAGGACATTTTTCCATTTTTTGTTCAGATAGAGTGGGAGGGAGAGGAAGAGAGAGAGAAAGAAACATCGACGTGAAAGGGACACATCGAGTGGCTGCCTCCCGCACGGCCCTGACCCAACCAGGGCGGGGGACAAACTGCAGCTGAGGAACGTGCCCTTAGCGGGAACCGAAACCGGGTCGCTCTGGACCGCAGGCCGAGGCTCTAACCGCTGAGCCAAACCGGCCAGGGCTCATTGAGTATCTTTTGATTTGTTGTTGTTGTTGTTGTTAATACTCACCCTGTGATATTTTTCCATTTATTTATTTATTTTTTTTTTTCCATTTTTTGTTCAGATAGAGCTGGAGGGAGAGAGAGGAAGAGAGAGAGAGAGAAACATCGACGTGAAGGGACACATCGAGTGGCTGCCACCCGCACGACCAACCAGGGCCGGGGACAAACTGCAACCGAGGTACATGCCCTTAGCGGGAACCGAACCCGGGTCTCTCTGTACTGCAGGCTGGCGCTCCAACCACTGAGCCAAACCGGCCAGGGCCCATTGATTTATTTTTTTAAGATAGACTGAAAGGGAGAAAGGGAGAGAGAAAGAAACATCTATGTGAGAAAGACACATCGATTGGGCCAGGGACCTTGACCTGGGAATCGAACCTGCGGCTCTTTGGTCCGAGGATCCAATGCTCTAACCACTGAGCAACGGGCTCACTGAGTATTTTTTAAATGTTATCTTAGGTTTTGACCATGTAAATGTATTATTTATTTAAAAATAAAAATTAATTACAACATGATTTAAAAATGAAATATTTTTTAAAATCCTAAAATTTAAAAGTGGAATAAGACAAAGAAATTCTTTCATCTATCTAGTTAAAGGCATAGACCCACCGAGAGAAACTCCAGTAAGTGAATCTGAAACAGTAATTTGACTATATTCCCAATAGAACACACTCTAGAGCTAAAATAACTGAAAATACTTAAATATTTTTAGCCACCATGCTGGTGGTGGAGGTTGGTTTTGCTCTTCGGAGCAGTTGTGCGTGGATTGTGAAGCGAATCAAGCAAGCGATTACGTCAGTGTCCTTGAGAACTGACATCTGAGAACCATGCTGTTGCCACCAGCTGGAACATGCCCCCCACGAGCCAAGTGGGGGTCGTGGAGGAGCCCCCTCTCTCCAGCAGGCACCCTCTGGCATCGTGCTGAAAATGTATCCTTCACACTGCATGGTGACTGCATGAGACAGGAGTGTCTGCGTGTCGTTTGCTCCAATCCGCAGGATCGCAGGGCTGGTTTCGAAGGGTGGGCTGTGAGCAGAGAAGTCACTGGGTCATCTCAGAGACCTGCCCGAGGGCACGGTCCTAGAGATGGAAGGGCTGGAAGATGTTGGGGTTGACGCAGGGCCGGGGAGGCCGCAGGTCAGAGCGAGTTGTACTGTTCGTGGAAGGGGGAGCGCGGAGGGGGAGCGGGCATGGACTTATATAACGTGCTGGCTTCGAGGTTCCCGTGAGACAGACAGGTGGAGGCGTCCACGAGGCCACTGGGGCCAGATCTGACGCTGGGATGGAGATCTGCCGGGACAAACAGATTTAGCTGAGTACAGTCTGTGGGTGGTAGTGGAAGTCGGGGCTGTGGGTGACATCCCAGAACACCAACTGTATTTATTTTGTGAGACCGCCGTATGTAGCAAACGCCCACAACTGGATGGTTGAAGACAACAGAAATGCATTCTCGTAGTTTGGGGGCTAGAAGTCTGGAATCCAGCAGACAGGGATGCTCCCCCCAGACTCCGGGAGAGACTATTCCATGCCTCCCCTGGCGCTAGGGCGAGGGTCTGCTCCCAGACTTCACGGGGTCCATAGTCTAAAAACGTCTAGAAGGCTTTCCCTCAGCAAGGAGGGCAGCCAGAACTTGCAGGGTCTGGACTCCAGCTCCCTGCCCTCCCTCCTGCCCCTCCCCCACCCATTCCCTGCCCGCCTTACTCTGCACCAGCACCGCCAGCTTTCAGAAGCTTCCCAGGCTGGAACCACCTTCCTTGACCGAACAGAACCCTGACTTTCCAAGAGCAGGCAGCCAGGAGGGCGGGCCCAGCTGGCCTTGGCCCCGGCGAGCCTCTGATTGCCCCTTTCCCCAGCCTCTCCCTCTGGTGGCTGCTGACTCGGCCTTGGCCCCTGCTGAGCTGAGCTCCCTGTTACTCTGGCCCCAGGACCACGTTCTTCACTGCACAGCCAAGACCCACTAGAACATTCAATACAGACTTTGCTAAACCATGAAGAAATAAACCCAAGGAGTAAAAGTAGCACCAAACAAAGTAGAGCCCGGCTCAGTGGTTGAGCGTTGACCCATGCACCAAGAGGTTGCCGGTTCGATTCCCAGTCAGGGCACATGCCCACGTTGTGGGCCCAATCCCCAGCGGGGGGCATGCAGGAGGCGGCAGATTGATGTTTCTATCTCTCTCTCCCTTCCTCTCTCTCTAAAATCAATAAAGGAAAAAAAAAGTTTTTGATCAATAAAGAAAAAAATTTTTTTTTCTTTTGGTATGTGCCCTTAGCGGGATCTGAACCTGGGACTCTCTGGTTCACAGGCCGACTCTCCAACCACTGAGCCAAACCGACCAGGGCAAATTTTTTTTAGTGTTTAAAAAAACCCAAAATGGTAGAAATGTCCACTCCCACCTTCTCTCTTCCCCTAGTGGGTCCCTCTGCAGTCCTGTGGCATCAGCAGTCCAGCCCCGCAGGGTGACTCCTGGTCTCAGGGTTCTTGCCTGTTTCTTCTCCATACAGTATGGTGTAGTGAGCTGAATGGTGGCCCCCCAAAAAGATACGGCCACATCCTAACCACAGGACCTGTGAATGTTACCTTATTTGGAAACAGGTTCTTGTAGATGTAATCAAGTTAAGGATTTGAGGCAAGGAGATCATCCTGGATTATCTGGGTGGGCACTAAATCCAGTGACAAGTGTCCTTACAAGAGACACACAGAGGAGACACACAGCAGGGGAGGAGGCAGTGTGATGACAGAGGCAGAGACTGCAGTGACCGTGTACACCAGTCACGGCATGCCCAGGACTGCTGGCAGCCCCCACAAGCCGCACTCCCAGGTGCCCGTCCACACGGGGCCAGGCAGATGCACGCCTGCGCCTCCACTGAGCTGGTCTGGGGCAGTACCAAGGGAGAGGCGCCCACGGCCAGTCTGCTTTCCTCTTAGCTGGAGGCCGGGGTGCGGGAGGGAGCGGCGGGGAAGGATGGTGCCAGACAGCCTGCGCGAAGCCCAGCAGACTACTGTCCGGAACGGCTCCCAGGCTCTTCTCTCACAAAAGCAGATGATAGCAGTGCCCACCTTGAGGACAGTGTCTGGGGATCAAATAGGCTATTGACATGAGCTTTCAGCAGACATACTAAGTGGTCACTAGGCAGCAACTCTCAAGCACTTCTGGGAGATGGAGGGGATGATGTGGCCAACAGGGAAAGCACCTCTGCAGGGACAGGCACCCTAGGGTGACAGAGGCGAATTTGGGAGAGGGCTCTGAGAGGCACTAGGAAAGTAGGAGTTCAGGTCCTGAAAGCAGAGATGCCTCTTGAAGGAGAAATATCTCAGTGACTCTCACTACTCAGGTCATGGGGGGCATCATGCAGATTAGTGGGTGCCCTAGGCAGGAAGGCCCCCTTGTTCAATTCTGATTCCCCAGGTCTGGGGTGCATTTCCAAATAATTGTAAGGAGGAGATCCCTCATCCCTCCTCATGTTCAAGATGCCTGTCATCAGGAAGTTCTGCTTGGTGTCTTTCCTGAGGCCCTCATGCTGTAGCCTGGCACATAGATGGCCCCGTGTTGGGCTGAGAGACAGGCAGAGGGTCCTTGGGAAAAAACACATATGAAGATTGGAGGCCCCTGTTCAGCTCCATGGTGACAACTACATGAACCCTCCGCTTTGGAGGGTGGGCGGGTGGGGAGGCACCCAGCTGCCACCTGGAGGAGCTAGGGCCAATCTTAGAGCTCTATTTTCAGCCTCTATCAACTTCAAAAGCAATTTCCTTTATTGCTGGCGCCATTGGCTAGAACCCTGGATGAACAAATTAATGCTGGAAGCAGGTGGGCACAGTTAATACGTGCAGGCTTTCTGTGCTCTCAGTGGTAAACAAAGATAACCCGATCTCTAAACAGTCATTTCCAGGCTCCCCCGGTCCTACCCACCGCCTCTCCTCGGCTCCCTGGATGACAGGCTTGCTGTTGGGAAGACCCCAGGGCCTTTCGCTGCTTGACTCTGTCCAGACTCAGGGCGGTCGGAACCGCAGCTTCCAGGGCCAAGGGGCCCCACTCACCCCGGGGCCCCACTCACCCCGCCCCGCGGGCAGGATCCTTCCCGCCGTCCTCCAGCCCCTCACCCGCTCCGGCCTCACTGCCCCACAAGCCGCAGGCCCGGTCGTACTGCAGTTGCTGTGATTACCTGCGATACCCGGGCCTCTGGGCCAGGCTGGCGGAGGCAGACAGCGGCGCCGGGGCACCCAGCCCTGACTCCCCCGGGGCACCCAGCCCTGACTCCCCCGCCCCCGCCGGGCCGGGCTGCTCCTGCGTCCTGCTGGGCCTGAGCCGGCGGAGCTCCTGCTGTGCGCAGGCTCCTGAGGCGGCATATCCCTTACCCCAACCCCCCAAACCCCAGTCTCCCCGCTCCCAGAGCCCTCACCTGCCCGTGGCTCTGAGGGCAGGACGCTGTCATAACTCAGCAGGCCCTTCCAGGGGGCCGTGCGGAGCCCCTCATGGGGCCCCCCCGAAGCATCGAGGCTGAACACATGGGGTCCTAGAGCACAGCACCAGGCCTGGAAGTCAGAACACCAGTTCCCAGGGGTTTGAACACGTTCTGCATTTATGCTGAATGCCTCGCACCCTCGGGCTCGCTCCTCCCGCAACAGCCGGCAAGGAGGCAGGGCCCTGCTGTCCCGCTGGCTGCAGGGCGGGACACAGGTGGTACAAGCTGACAGGCTCTGAATGGTCCCCCCACTAGACCCCTCGCCTCACTTGACCCCGCACAGCCCCTTGAGGTGGGTACTCTTGTTTCTCCTCATGTGTAGGCCAGGAAATGGGTACCAGCCAGGACATGGGCTAGTTTGAACTCAAGTCTTCTGAGTCCTGAGCCTGTGCTTGCCCTGGTGACCAGTGCCGTGCTGCCTGGCCTTCAGACTCACGGCTAGTCACTGAAGGAACCAGATATGAACCAGATGTGTCTGGCTTGGGACACTCAGTCACGCACCTTTGACCTCTCTCAGCCCTGACCCTGTATGGCGCTCCGGAAGGCTTCTTTCCACAAAGCCCTGGGTGCCCCCTCTGCCGGTGCCCACAGCCAGCCTCTTCCGGGACATCCGCTCCAGGTCCCTGGGTTTTCTAGCCTCCTCTCTGCCCTCTGCTCCAGTGTGTCCCCCACCTGTCATCACCACGGTGCTCTCTGTACGCCAAGGCCCCACAGGGGAAGTCCCAGCCTCCGAGACCCACCGCAGCCTTATTTCCCAGGCCTCCTGCCAGACAAGCCAGGCTCCCACCAAACCGGGCCGCGGATCCCAGGCCCCGGGAAGGAGGGGCCTCCCTCAGGCTCTGGGGAACGGGTCTGGCCCAGATCTGCAGGAGGGAGAAAGCTCTTCCTGCTGGGAGTCAGGGAAGGCTCCCAGGAGGAAGAAGCAACTTCTAAGCCAGGTGCACAAGGAGTGGGTGAGGAGGCATTGGGGCAGAAGAGTTGGCATGAGCACGACTGAGCAAGAAGTCTGGGCCTGGGGTCCTTTGGCAGGGTAGGCAGTCCGTCAGAGTAGCCCCTCAGAACACGGGAGGGCACTGCCCATCCCTGAACACTTCAGGAGGGGCCTGGAAGCCCTGGGATGGCAGATGGGAAGGGGGGGACTAGGGGAGCGGTACCAACAGCCTTCCTGCAGGTGGAAGTTCCAAAGCACCTGAAGGGCGACGGATGGGGGGGGGGGGGGCGTCTGCTCCGTCTTGGAGTTTCTAACCTGCCGTTACTTTGGCGAAGTCACTCCTGTCACTCAGTGTCAGTGTACTCATCTGTAATATAGGACAACAGGGGTGGGAGCTAATGAAACCAGTAGTCACGGCTCTCTCTCTCTCTATATATATATTTTGGCATTTGAGGCTGAAAATGTTTCCTTAAAGATATTTTTTTGGAAGCCTAAAGAACAGTGGATAAAAATGGAGCTGTGGCTCAGTGGTTGAGCGTCAACCCATACACCAAGAGGTCACTGGTTCGATTCCCAGTCAGGGCACATGCCCAGGTTGTGGGCCCGATCCCCAGTGGGGGCATGCAGGAGGCGGCCAATTGATGTTCTCTCTCATCAATGTTTCTATCTCTCTCTCTCCCTGACCCTTCCTCTCTCTCTAAAATCAATAAAGAAAAAGAATTAAAAATAAAATGGAATTGTGCAAATCGATGTGGGGACTGGGGAGCCCAGGGCCGACCAGCCTCCTCCCTCATGTCTGCCCAGCAAGGCAGTATGACAACCACTGCATTTGGTATCTGTCGTAACAGCTGACTCTGCAATCCTGACCAAACGCATGATGGTCTCCTGACCCCAACTGCCCATCTCCAGCTCAGGATGGCCCCTCGCGGGTGCTGCTAGCCTTGGGAGGGGGACACATGCCCTGAACCCCTGTCCTGAAAGAGAAGAAAGAGCCACCTCTCAGGGAAGCCACATGGCCCCAGGTCCTCAACCATCAATATTGAATCATCTGATTTCTGTGCACCCAGGGCCCTGGAGTCTGGAGCAGGTGAGGGAGCCAGCCCGCCAGGGACTGAGAAAGCAAGTAGGACTCAGCACTTCTCACCTCTGGAGGCATCCTTAGCCTCCAGCTTGTTGGCCCTTATGACAGCGAGTGTGTGTGTGTGCCTGTGTGTGGCTTTGGGGATATGCACCAATAATGTCTTAAATTTGCACAACCTTTGACCTACAGATACCACATATAAGAACATAGCCTTAAAAAATAAGCATTTGGTTGATAGCAGGAAACTGGAAACCATCCAAATATCCTTAAGATAAGCTTGAGCCCTGGCTGGTTTGGCTCAGTGGTTGGAGCATCGGCCTGTGGTCCAGAGAGACCCGGGTTCGGTTCCCGCTAAGGGCACGTACCTCGGTTGCAGTTTGTCCCCGGCCCTGGTTGGGTCATGCGTGTGGCAACCACTCAATGTGTCCCTTTCACATTGATGTTTCTCTCTCTCTCTCTCTCTCCCTCCCACTCTATCTGAACAAAAAATGGAAAAGTGTCCTAGGGTGAAGATAAAAAAAAAAGTGGTCTCTCTTTTCATTAAAACAAAATACACAGACGACAAGGCTAGAGCAGCCTGCAGCGGGTGCCTGTCAGCAGTCTGCAGGGTCTGTGATGTCCGCTCTGTCTTCACTGTCTGCAGTTCTAGTGTTTACTTCTGTGATGAGGGGGAAGGGCACCAAACATTAATTTTAAAATGAGAGAAGAAGGAAAAATAAAAATCCGAAGCACCCAAACAAATTCTGCCGGGAGGTAGACCCAGGACAGGAAGGCGTGAGGCGTCCTGGCTCCTCCGCCGCTCCCTCCCCTCCCTTCCCGGGCTTCTCTGTCCCTCAGGTAGTGTGACCGCCAGTGAGGAGGGGCTCCATCTCCGGGGCTGGGCTCAGGCCGCACAGCAAGCCCCCCAGGCTCAGGACAGTCTTCTCAGCTCCCAGTGCTCCCAGGAGCTGGGGTGGGTGTGCAGGGCCCTCTGAGTCTGCCAGGCCTTCCCCCCATTTGGTTAGTTATCATGTGATAAGAAACTGGAGATGCCTCCCGGCCTGCAGGGACAGAGAAGGGACATGTACCAAGGGTCTCC